GTTAGATTACTATTTGAAACACTTTCATATTTAACCATCCCATAATTTTATAATCTAAAGCATTTTCTTCCTGCAGGTTTTTGTAAAAAAAAAAAAAGAACTTCAGGTTTTAATGTATGTATATATGTTTTAGGGCTGAAAGAATTGAAAGTTGAAGATGACATCTCATCAAAGGTAACACCTGTTTTACCTGCCCTTAATTGTGCCCTTCTGGAAGCAAAAAAATCGTTTACTGAAGAGGGAATCTGTCCAAACACGTTAGTAAAGCGTAGTTTCCAAGAACTGTACAAGGTGGACAAAAGTCCCTCATTGACTGCTGCTTCTCAGGATGGAATTAAAGAGACTGCGTTCTTCGGCCAACTGTCCAATGGCTTTGACTTGGCTCCTCCAGCAGAAAAGTGCCCTTTACAGTCATTCACTCAGTTGAAGTCTTATTTTTCAGATCCTACTGGGTACATTTTGGAAGTGTCTACCGCATTAGATTTATTAGCAGAGCGTCCTCAGTCCCCTTGTATCTCAGATGGGATTTGCGATGCTGGATTTTCTTTAGTTATGACTCCAGATCCTGAATTTTTGGAGTCAGAGGCAGAAGTAAGAAAAGAAACTGAAACTGAAAAGAATCCCGAAGACATGTCGAAAGCAAGGCAGGGAGCTGTGATCTCGGTAAACCCAGCCTTAGGTCGGAGAGTCCAGCCCAAGAGGAAGGCAAGCGTGCCGCCCGCCGTGCAGAGTAAACGGGTGAACTTGTGCCGTCCCTTCCCCAAGAGGGCTGCCAGTGCGGGCAAGGGTTCCAACTGTCCCACGACGCTCAAATTAGTTAAAGGACCGTTTCCTCAGAAAAGAAAAAGAGGTAAGCACGATTTCTGTGGATTACTAACTGCGCAGTTAAAAGTAACTGTGGTTCTCTGACACTGTTCCTGTCTGATCGTTGTGCACTGAGCTGGGCGGTTGCAGAAGTGTTAGAGATGCCAGCATTTCCCTGTGGGTGATTGTCTACGGGCTGAAGTTTGAGAAGCACTGATCTAGATAACAGGTGAAAATCAAGAAATGGGGAAAACTAAGGCATTTCAAAAGCCCACCCACCAAAGACTACATTTCATTTGTAAAATGGCTCAACCGTCACTCAGTCGCTTAAACACACACCATTCTGGGCAATGATTATTTAGTTTCTGAGCTGTCCTCGGACAGTTAAGGGTGGAAGAAGAGGATCTTCTAAAATCAGGCTCACCAGTAGCAGCAAAAAGTGGTAGCTGAGAGTCTGAACATGTAGAAAGAGAGAATGAAATGCCTGGATTTTCCGAACCTGAAACAGTCTGGCCCAGAATTTCCCTTCCTTTGTGTGTATCAGAGTTTGAAAAATAGTCACCTGGATCCTACGTAAACCTGTTGAAACAATGGCCAGTGGCCTGGAGACACATATATTGGAACAGTTCTACAAATGGCTTTGTTGACCCCGAAAATCGAACCAGAGTCTCAGGCCAGTTAGTGTATAGTCAAATGCACTTTACCAAGCCTAGTACAGCAGACAACGTGATTTTGGCTCGGGGTCATCCTAGATTACATGTAGTGGATTTTGCTTAGAAGTAGGCAACCATATGCCCTGGGCCCCATTAGGGAACCTGAGGACCCCTCGGGTTTACCTGTCGTCTCTGGCTACTTCACACGGTGCCGGCAGAGGTGGGCAGCTGTGCCTTAGACCGTATGGCCTTCAAAGCTGGAAATACGTCCTGCCAGCCTGTCTCAGAAAACGTTTGCTAAGCCCATCTGTAGTGTTTTGAATTTAGAAATTGTGGTGCTTAAAGAGGAAAACATCAAGGATCTGCAGATCATCAGGATTCTAGATAGTTATTTGTGGCTTAGTATAGTTTGGGAGATGGGGTGCATGTGCTCATATGTACATTCAGAGGCTGATGGGAAGTAGGGCAGTAGGAAGCAGCGAAATTCGACTGCACCGCTCCTCACAAGTACATTCCAGGCCAGCCGTGTTGAGTTTCTACTATATATGAACCAGTTTACTTCAAGGTATTAAATAAATTATCTACAATCCAACAATCACTGTTTCTCAAATGTTTTTACTTTCCTCCACTATAAGAAATATGTTTTATATTACAGTCCGGTGCGCACAAATTCATGCATGACTGAAACAAATTTCAAAAAACATTTACCCTGCCTCTGCGTAATGCAGTCTGGTTCTTTCTGTTCTGTTTCCTTTAAGAAAGGGTCCTGATTGCAGCCCATTAAATTTATTTTACAGCCCACCAGTGGGTGGTGCATACAGGTTTGAGAAACATGGCACTGAGTGAGGCAGAGAAGCAGGGCAGTCCCCTGTAGGGTCACCTAGCTTCGTGTTTGTTTCCCTCCCAGGACCCGGGTTGTGCGGGGTCTCCCTGCCTGTGCAGGTCCTCGGAACCTCCCCCAGGTCTTGGTCCTCTCTTATTCTTGTCTGAATTTAGTCTGAACTGTTTTCCTGCTTCAGTTATATTTTGCCTTTCTTTGTGCTAAAAATTTTAGAAAATAACTAGAGTAGAATGAGAAGTATTCTTCAAAGAAAAACAAAACCGTATGTTGCTCTGTTACTTGCTATAGTTTAGGAGGGAGGAACAGCATTAGACCCAGGGAGACGTCGTACACCAAGAGATGTGAAAGTTTTTTTTAAAAGCCACTCCTTTCTCTAACCTCCAAGAGAATGAAATGAAACTGGTCTCTTTTCTACATTTTACTAACAGCGATCATGATTTCTTAAACCAGTGTCGTGTTTCCTGTTCTCAATTAGAAATACAGTTGACCTTCGAACGATGTAGGCATCAGGGGCACTGACCTCCCACCCCCTGCAATAGAAAATCTCTAACTTTTGATTCCCCAGACTTAACTACTGATAGCCTCCCATTGACCAGAAGCCTTACTGATAACACAAATCATTGATTGACATGTACTTTGTACATTGTATGTATCATACCCTATATTTTTACAATCATGTAAGCTAGAAAAAAGTTATTAAAGTCATAAGGAAGAGAATACACTCACGGTAGTGTACTTCCATTTATTGGAAAAAAATCCATTCAAACCAACATTCAAGGACCAACTGTAGCGTTTTCTGTATAATGTAGTTTTAAAATATCTGCGAACACAACGCGTGATATTTTTATTGGTATCTCTGGGACTAGTTTTTTGGTTTGACAACTGAAAGTATGAAAAGTCAGTGGGAAGGGACGTTTTCAAAGGGAACATTTATTAACTTTTTTCTTTGTTTAACTCTTCAAAGGTTGAAACACTTTCTGTTGTGTTAGCAAGTGGTCCTCAGGTTTTCTCCTTACTTGCCTCCACTGGTAGCTGTTCCCTTCGGTGTGCGAAGCAAAGCTGAGCATTTTGTAAGAGAGAGGAGCAAGTGTCAGAGACTTGTAGGAGATTAAATCAGGCGAAGGCTTCTTCAGTGGACCTTCCTCTGTCTTTTCTGAAAAGACGATTTTTCCGGTGATGTTAAGACGTGGATATTTGGGAGCAGTCCGGTGAAATCTGTAAGGTGGCTCTGTGTGTCTAGTCTCTTCTCTGCAGTCTGGTTACGGTTTCACCTACCTCGCCTCGTGGTGGCTGTGTTGCTTTCCCACAAATTCTCCATTCCCCAGTGCAGTGAACCACCGTCTTCAGCCTTACCTGCCACAGCAGTCAGGAAAGATTATGGAGATTTTTTTTTTCTTTTAAAGTCATGCCGTGTTTTTATAAAGTTAGGACTCTGGCAGTTTTCTTCTTCACCTGACAGGGCTATCGTCTGACGCTTAGAAAGTTCCTGTTTTTACATTGTATATGAGAGCTTTGGACTTCTGCTTTGTTTAAAAGAAAATCTTTATTAGAATACCCTGAAGTTTGTGTTCTCTTCCCTATTGCTAAAGTTACCTCTCCGAAAACCAAAGCAAAGAAAAAACTATTGCTGATAAGTATCTGAGCCCCCTACCCCTTAAAACACGGTGTGTTTTCTACATAAGGTGCTGAAGTGCTGACTGCACAGTTTGTACAGACAACCAAATTGGATAGGAAAAACCAAGAAGCTCCCATTTCTAAAGATGTTCCAGTGGCAACGAGTGCTAAAAGGGCAAGGAAACAAGAGAACTCTCCAGTCAAAACTGTTCCAAGGGCTAAGCCACCCGTGAAGAAATCTCCACAAAAACAGAGGGTAAATATAGTAAGAGGCAATCAGAATCCCAGACTCAAAAAGCAGCCACAACCTGGTAAGAAATACTCTTCCTGTGAATTTAAACACCGCAATACAGACTAACTGAGATTGCAAGAGAGAGTGTATTGGAATAATCTAAGAACGGTTGAGGTTTACCAACCGTTCCTGCTGTCCCCCTTCGCTCCCACACCGACAGGACTAAGTAGGTCGGGTTCCTGTCGTAAACACATCCGTGAGGTGCAGATTCTTGCCTTCACACAATAGAGCCTCCCTGTTAGTTTGCACAAAGCCTCAGCGTGACCGTCTGCAAGAGTGTACGTGGAAAGGAGCTTTTTTATAACTAAATGCACAGGCACGTAGTCTCTGGCTGTATTTTTCTGGGCCGCAATCACTTACAAAAAGTAGAAGCCTGGGGGCGCCTGGGTGGCGCAGTCGGTTAAGCGTCCGACTTCAGCCAGGTCACAATCTCGCGGTCCGTGAGTTCGAGCCCCGCGTCGGGCTCTGGGCTGATGGCTCGGAGCCTGGAGCCTGTTTCCGATTCTGTGTCTCCCTCTCTCTCTGCCCCTCCCCCGTTCATGCTCTGTCTCTCTCTGTCCCAAAAATAAATAAACGTTGAAAAAAAAAAAATTAAAAAAAAAAAAAAAAAAAAAAAAAAAAAAAAGTAGAAGCCTGTAAGTTTATTTGTCCAAAGGGAATTCTAAAGAGATCATTCAAGATACTCGGGAATCCAGAAACCTGGTTTTGGTGTTAAAAGGCATTAAGTTCATTTTAAAAGCAGTTTTACTTTTCTAGTTTTGTTGAAGTGAACGATGAAGTTTAGTTCCGTGAACCCATGGCCGGCTGCGCTGGTTCCACATCTGCAGCTGCTGGAAGCGGCCTCCTTACCAGAAGGCCCCATCGGCCTCGGAGGCTTCCCCTCTGGAACCGAACACCCGTCACGCCCACGCCCCTGCTCCGCTTTCCCATCTCTGCGTGTGGCGTGCGGCTTCCCCCTGCAAAGTCTGCTGTTCCTTCACGCTCCGTACGGAGTCCTGTTCCGGAGCATGTGTGTCGTGCTCTTGTTTTAACACAGACTTGATTCCTCATGCCTTTTTCCTGGCAGTTCTCTGTCTACCCTTCCTGATTCTGCATTCTCCCTCATCTAGTTTTAGATTTTTAAAAAACCTCAGAGTCAGTGGGACTTCAGAAAATACGGTTTTTTTGAGGTGAATCGATTATGAATAAGTTTGTTTTTTCCTGAACTTCTGTAATACTGTTATTTTATGACTGAAGAGTTGTTTTGGTTTGGGGTTTCTTTTAAATGAGGGAAGGATCTTTAAAAAGCTCTTCGTATCATTCTAACACGTCTTGCCATGGTGACACCCATACACGCCACATATAAGCTTTTTTCGTCTCCTGGGCATTCACAGCAAGGCCGTGTCCCACCCTTCTATGCTTCCCTCCTGCTGTTTCTTGTCGTGTGCCTGCCCCACCAGGTACCCCAGGCTCCTCCCCCACGTCACACCGACGTCTGCTCGTGTGCCGTTCCCTTGTACCAGTCCAGACCTCAGCCAGGTCCTGCCTCCACTGTGAGACCTTTCCTGCCGCTCTGATCTTAAGCGAGCTCTGTTTTCTTTCCTTTCCTTTCCTTTTGAGTTTTTGAGAACACTGCGGAATCAAATTCATCCTTTTTTCTAATCATCTGATGTGTCTTGGTCTTGTCTTTCCAATGAATTTGTAAACATTATGAGCATAGACACGTGTATAAATGCCTTGTATGCTTAGCTGTGTCATTCGGATCATTTGTACCGAACTGGCTCTCAGGTATTTGTAGACTAGTTGACTAATGGGAGGAATGCAGCTGGGTATTAGCACAAAAGGGAGCCCAGGAAATGAAAAGTTTTTAAAACATGTATTCAGAAAAAGGCTGATTTGCATTCAAATGTCTGTATATATTGTACAGCCACATTCCAAGGTAAAATTTTAAGATTCCCACCTTTTAAATAATCTCTTAGTTTTTCTTGTATTTCTTAACCACCTATACTAATCAGTTTCATTTCTTTTGCTTAAAGCATCAGAATTTAAGAAGGCTCATTTTTGTTACTGAAACTAATGCCTTTGTGTCCTTTTATAAGTTTTTAATACAGTTTTTATTTATTGAGCTCTTTATTTTTTATATACTTTATTTGGTGTTGTCTTATTTGTATTTCTTAAAAGAGATGATCAGTATTCTATTTTTAATTGATAGAGAACCTCTAACAAGTCAGTAATTAAGTGATTTACCAGAGACTACACATATTTGTTAAACTGGATCCTTTTTCTTTCGGTGCAGTGTTTTTTATATTAGGCCTTACTCATAAGTGATATCCTATAATACCAGCAAAGATAGGATGAAATTAGTATGAATAAACATATCAGGTCACAAAATGGATTTCATGTTTGTAGTATATCCATGGGGCGAATGAGATGATTCTCCACCTTGGGTCATTTTCTTCTACTGAATCCCTTGGGTTTTGCTATTTTACCTAAAAAATGGACAGTGGTTGTTACTTTTATCTTTCCCACCATATGCACAAACCCTTCTCATTCTGTTTGATGACCTCACAGGCCAGAGTTTTCTTTTTTTTAAATGGATTAGTCATGGGGCACCTGGGTGGCTCAGTCGGTCGAGCATCCGACTTTGGCTCTGGTCATAATCTTACAGTTCGTGAGTTCAAGCCCCACATCAGGCTCGCTGCTGTCAGCACAGAGCTCACTTCATATCCTCTGTTCCCCTCTCTCTGCCTGTCCCCTCCTTCCACTTTCTCAAAAATAAATAAAACATTTTTAAAAAATGGATTAGTGTGCTTGCTTCGGCAGCACATATACTAAAAAAATGGATTAGCCATTGGCCTTTGCAGGCAGGTCAGTAATCCGTTTCAGACCTGCTGCTATTACAAAGAAAAACGCATGGTTTTCCTATCCATGCACCTGCCACAGGGAATCGTTCCCTAGTGTTGTCGTGAACTTTGTCCTTCATGACAACCGCATTTAAGGAAGCTGAATTAATACCCTGTGAATACACATAAACCACTGGAGAAGGTCAGTTTTCTGGTTAAAGGCGAATGGCTAGATGTGATTATCTACAGAAAGAATTATCGGGCAAACATGCAGACAGAGGGAATGTTTTCAGTGTAGAAATTAAAGTTTTAAAAGGTGATAAAATTGGTGATTTTGAGTGAATACTCATGACTTTTCTGATTTTTATTTATATCATTACTTATTATAATTAAACATCAATATGATTAAAAGTCATCTCTAGTTTGGGGCATCTGGTGGCTCAGTCGGTTAAGTGTCCGACTCTTGGTTTTGGCTCAGGTCATGATCTCACAGTTCATTTGACTGAGCCCTGTGTCAGGCTCTGCCCTGATAGCACCGGGCTTCCTTGGGATTCTCTCTCTCTGCCTCTACCCCACTCGCACGCTCTGTCTCCCCCGCTCCCTCTTTCTCTCTCTCTCAAAATCAATAAATAAGCACTTTTTTTTAAAAAAAAGTCATCTCTACGGGCGCCTGTGTGACTTAGTCGGTTAAGCATCTGACTTCGGCTCAGGTCATGATCTCGCGGTCCATGTGTTCGAGCCCTGTATCGGGCTCTGTGCTGACATCTCAGAGCCTGGAGCCTGCTTCGGATTCTGTGTCTCCCTCTCTCTTTGCCCCTCCCCTGCTCATGCTCTGTCTCTCTCTGTCTCTCAAAAATAAATAAACATTTAAAAAATTTTAAAAAAACAAAGTCATCTCTAGTTTGAATTTAAGTGATTTCTCTAAGAAAGCACTTGTTAAGGGAAATGATTCCTAAAAGTATGTTAAAATGCTATAATATACACTTCAAATTTAGAAAGTCACTAGATTGTAAGCTCTCTGAGGGCAGGACTCTTGTTCTCTTGTTTATTCTTGTTCTTTTTCCTCTTTGCATGTTTTCTCAGCTAAGTAGTATGCCTTGTGTGTAGATTGGCACATACATTTCTGAAAGGTGATTTCTTTTTAAATCAGTATGCACATTCCTTAAGACTTGTTCTTGTGGTAAATATGTTATAATAGAACTGATAGTTGGAAGGAACCTGATAGTGAAATTTTAATATATAATCTATGTAACCTATCCAGAGGTTTTTCTTGAATATGTTGACTTAATCATTGATTTTCACTAAGCGGTAATAATAGAGCAGAGAATTAAAATACATAGAAATCAAATGTTATATGTCTTTTTCTTTTATACTGAAGCAAAAGGAGAAACTGGTTCACAGCTTCAATCAGAAATCTCATCACTTGGTCAAGAGGATGTTGACATAAATGCAGCTCGGGCGGAAAGCATCTCAGTGGCTCAGAAAGATCTACCTGAAAACTCCATTGTCAACTGTGACTCCCAGGCCCTAAATATGTTAGCTGACCTAGCGTTAAGTGCTGCTACTTCCGCCACGCCGCCATCTGAGCCCAGAAACTTTCCCTGCCCCTCTGAACTGCCACAAGATGATGTTTTGCTTTCTAAAGAACATTCTCTGCACGGTACGTCTGACCATGAATATCACAGAGGAGTTAAAAATCAGAAAGGTGGACTGTTCCCGAAACCCTCCACTGGGAGGAAGAGCCCTCCAACGTCAGACTCCGCTGTCAGCCAGGAGGAAGAGAGCTCGGTTCCTGGCAGCAAGGCCCCTGTGGAAGCCTCGCCAGCACTTCCCGAGGAAACACTAGAAACTTCTGAGGCAAGCCAAAGCACTTTCGTTGCCGTGGAACATTCCTATGCCCTGCTGCTTGCAGAACATTCAAAGAAACATCTGCAACAGAGAGGAATCCCAGGCCCGGCCTTCGCCAAGAATGGCACCAAAGGCCCCGAGGCAGGGACCCCTGTGGGGAAAGTCATGCCCTTCCGACATCAGCAGAGCACCTCCCCGCTGCGGAAGCTGTCTGAGGACCCGCTACCCAAGTGCAGGAGCCAAGTGGTGTCCTCCGACCCGAGAGACTTCCAATGCTCTCACACTGTGCTCAGCTGTGACGGCTCTGTCAAGGTCACGTTCCAATGTGAGACAGAGTACGTATTCGGCTTAGACAGCAAGTACACCAACCACCCGCTGGAGAAAACTGTAGTAAGAGCGCTGCATGGGTAAGTGGGAGTGACTCTGCTGTGGAGATCAACGTCAAGGGAAGGATACCTGTGCCAGAATCTGGGGAGAGGGAAAGAAGGGTACTGTGTGTAACTCCAGTAACTTAGGAATAATATCAGGCAGTTGTGTTTACTGCCAATTAAGAAAATGAGGCTGGTTTTGCCACCGTCGGTGGTCACGTGGAGCCCTTTAGCAAGCTAACTTTAGCCCTGTGAAAGCTTTCCATTTTGAGATGCTCCCACATAAGCCTTTGTGGCCTTTGAATTTACAGTATGTCAATGAGATCTTAATGTAAAATCGTGAAATACAGAAATAATGCCTTACAGACTGAATTCCAGAAGAAATGTTTCAAGAATTACTTCTAACTTCTTAGGTTGGTCCGGTGGTCTGAGCGAGCAGTCTTACATGGGGTTGTTCTGTAAATCTAAGGGGTCAGAGCATCAAGGCAGTAACAGCAGAGCAGCTGAAAGCATGGGCTTTGGAGCGTAGACGAACCCCGGTTTTAATCTTCCGAGTTACCAACTTACTAACTAGCTTCTGGGACCCGGGGGTTCCTGTTCTTTGGGACAGTGCTTCTAGGGGTCTCACAGGAGTGCAGATTCTGACTCTGGTCTGTTTGGGATGGGGCCCGAGAGTCTGCATTTCTGGCGAATTTCCAGGTGGTGCCAGGGGAGCGTCGGTGGCAGTCCGTGGGCAGCGCTTTTAAGTATTTAATGTCAGCAATGGCTACCAGCAGGTTGTTACATATATTAAGGTTTTGCACAGTGACTGACCCGTACTAATAAGTGGTACCCGTTGCTAGTAGCAGGGACCATTAGTTATATGAAATGACATTCAGCTTCCTGTGAATGGAATATTTCACATGGAAGCAACTAACCTGTATCAGACTTCTTTCCTTGCTCCGGTTACATGCTCACATTCCTAGGAGCATATACTTAACGTTCCCATCTACTCATGAGGGGTGTTTCTTAGCTCTAATCCTGTGTAACAGAGGCCCAGCTCCGTAGCCCCTCCGACACTGTCTGCTATCATCCTGCCGGGCAAGTGGCCAGAAGTGTTTTCTCCCCATTCAGTTTCAGGAGATTTTCTGGAACTATAATCTGAAAATAGTGTTGTTCTGCTGACTCGCCCACAGAGATATTTTAACCTCCAGACTTTCCCAACTATTAGAAGAGAAATACAAAAATAGAAATGAGTTGGCCAGACTTAGCAAAAGCAAGACGAGGATTGGGGTAGTTACTGGAGCCATTCTTCACATAACAGGTACATTGTGTCCAAAGGGAGTTGGAGTGGTATAAAAGAGAAATCCTAGACTGGGAGTCTGGAGACTTCTGTTCCAATCATGGTTCTGCTTAAGGGTTTTGTGATCTGAAGAAGTCACTTTTCAAATCTCTGATTTTCAGTTCCCTTTTCTGCCTCTGTAAAATGAGTGGATTAGATCCGTCATAACCACTTGTTAAGTCAACTTCATTTTTATATTATTGTTTCATATCCATGTATTTTAAAATAAAAATGAACAAATTTAAAACTAAGATGCAAATGAAGGCACTTATGATAAGACAGTCCACTAAAATCACCATTTTCAATGACTTTTTACATGTTTTTTCTTTAAAATCTCAGGCCCTGGAACACTGACTTACCTGATAATGTGGAAGAAGTGAAGCTTTTACTTCATATGTGGGTGGCTCTGTTTTACAGCAGTCACAACAAGGTGATGCGGTCATCCCGAAAAGTGGTGGAGCACAGCAACCCCGCAAAATATGTGTCTATAAATAGCACATTAGAATCGTTGGAATTCAGCGAACTTGAGGAGGCCTCCAGCGTGCAGAGGTGTCCTGTGGACCCTCTGTTGGAGACTAACAAATCTCCCAGAGGTCCTGCTGCCGACGTGTCCTTCCCAGACGCCGACTCCTTGCTTCCCTTCATTAAACCACCACCCACGAGAGGCTTGGAGCTCTGGGTGCAGAACGAACAGAAAGAGATTTTTGCAGGAGAGGGTCTTCCAGACACCCCAGAGAGCCAGAATTTCATCTATTCCTGTAATAATGAGGTAAGTACGTGCTGACATCATTTTTGAAGAAATTTCTTTTTTCTCTCAATGTGTAAAATCACATTCAAGACGTGCCGTGGGTTTCTTTTAGGAAGGTGGATTGTCTGCGTAAAGGATTAATAAGCCAGGCACTTAGTTTCTGTAAGTACGCTCTAGATTGTTTGCAGGTGGAGCTCGTCTCCATCCTGATTGAAGAAGCAGAAGTGGAAGAAGACCATGGGGGCCACATGGGTCGGGGGCCAGGCATAATTGTGGCACTTATTAGTTACGGAGTTTGGGGCAAATTACTGGTTTTCTCTGAGCATACGCTCCCATCTTTTAAAAGAGGTAAATAATATCTGATCTGTCTTAGAATAGTTTTGAAGGATCAGATGCAATGATAAGAGTTAGAGATCTTTGATAAGCCTTGAACTGAAATGAAGTCTGTTAAAGATGATTCTGGAAAACAAATGCTGGCACGGTAAACGTGATGCCATGCCCCCGTGGGCCTGTTGGTAATTGTGGCAGATACGGAAACTACACTGTGATTCTTTGCGCTGCACGCCACTGACGCTCCACAAGGCCAGACGGTCACGTGTTCACTGGAGCCCGTAAACAAGTTGCAGCAAACTTCTAAGCAAACGGCTTAACAAAATATATGCCCTTTTAAGTTTTCAGCTTGGTCTATTCCAGAATAATTTTGCATGCATTTGGGCACCTACAGTGCCTGTTTTAACACTGAGTAGACAGCGTGTCCGTATCAGGGGTTACTTGGGATTTGTGCCTCCAGGGAGACTCAGCCTGTGTCTCCAGATGCTGGTATCATCAAAATGGCTGTGAGCCCCGTAGCAGTCTAAGCCTTTTGCTCACATCAACTCAGTTTTCATGCAGCCCAGTGAGATAAAGACCACTCCACCCCATCTTATAGACGAGGAAACTAAGGCACAGAGAAGTGTGCCAGTTGCCTGAAGTCACACAGTAAATTGTTAAGCCTTGATTCAAAGCTAGACATCTAGATACTTGTCACATTCTGTGTGCGTGTGTGTATGTACATGTGTGTGTTTACGTGTGTATGCATACATACATATGCACGTGTGTGGAGTTTTTTCTAAGGATGGGTTTTATAAATTTCATCTGATTCTCGAGGAGATAGATAAAATCCAGTTAAGAATCTCTACTTAGGGTGTGCCTGGGTGGCTCAGTTGGTTAAGCGTCTCTTTTTTTTTTTTTTTTTTTTTAAAGCATATTTATTTATTTTGAGAGCAGGGAGGGGCAGAGAGAGGAGATAATCCAAAGCAGGCTCCACACTGTCAGCACAGAGCCCAACATGGGGCTCGAACTCAAAAAACCATGAGATCACGACCTCAGCCCAAGTCAAGAGTTGAATGCTTAACCGACTGAGCCCCCCTGATGCCCACCCCCCTTTCTAAGTTTA